TTTTCAGCTGGTTTAAAAGAAATTCAATTGAAGTCTTCCCTCATCCACCTTACAGTCCAGATCTTAATCCAATAGAAAATGTGTGGAGTTTACTTAAAAACCATTTATTTAAAAGATCTAGATCCTTTTTAGGCTTAGGTAATAACCAGAAGAGTATAGCGGCTTTTACTAGGGCTATTTTTGAAGAGTGGCAAGCTATTCCACAACAGGATATAGATAATTGTATTTTATCTCTACCTAGGCGTTGGCAAGCTGCAGTAGAAGCTAAGGGCTGGTACACTAAATATTAGCTTCTATTCTTAGCGAGAAATAAATATACTCTAAAAAATCAGACTCTTCTATATATCACGTGATCTAACTAGTAAAGATATACTATAACAGTCAGAGCTTAGAGATTAAAGATAGATCTATAATATATATTAGACTTAGACCTTTTTATATAAGAACAATAGAGTAATCTAGATATTTAGTTTGGATTTATTCAAGCTTCTAGTTTGGGGATTTTTGTTCGCTCAGGGCTGCTGACTAAGCAGATAGTGGGTCCACTATGCCAAACTATGAGATCTTGGCTTTTTAGATCTGCAATCCGTTTATTTTTAGCTATTTTTCCAGCTATATATTAAAGTTTTAAAATAACAACTTTTTGAGTGACGTTTTTTTCGTGTCACCCCTCTGTATATATAAGCGTGCTATTAAGCTTTAGCAATATATTAATAAGTAGCTAAAAGAAGAAATTATATATAGGGCTACAACGCATCCTAAAAGCCTTAGAGGTGTTAACAATAGTAGCATTAATTCTTAAGATCTTGAATGGCTACGGCTATTAGTATAGGAGTGGACTTATCTCGAGATAATTACTTAGATGCTTAGTTATTTTAAGATAGCTACTATAGCTCTAAGTAAAGGCTAAAAGCCTGATCGAAGGTTCGAATCCTTCTCCCCTCACAACCATATTTATGGTCCACCCACATGAGAGAGTTACTCATTAAACTACCTATTCGACTGAGAGAGTTACTCGTTAAAACTTGAGAGGAAGACTCATTTAAAGTGAAAGATCTGAGAGAGTTACTCACTAAAAAACTACTAGGCTACGAGCCTCACCTTCATTTAGATAACCCCCTACATTGTACCTACTCAATTTGTACCTAGATTAAATTCTAGCCTACGTAGTTACTTGCAGGCCTTAAGCCTGCACGTCTTATATAGCCCTTTGGGCTGAGAAAGGACGTTAAACTAGAATAATAATAATAATAATAATAATAATAATACCAGTCGACTCGATACGGTCAGCCAAGCGATGACGAAATAGAGTGGAACGGGAAGGCGTACGGTCACTCATAGGGACATGAGTAAAGAGGAGGAGGATGGTGTTACGATCCTGAAGGAAGGAACCCATCAAAGCAACGGAAGACCGCGGGGCGGATCTGACGCTAACGGAATCACGTGACCAGTCCTACCGAATCCCAA